CTCTGCATATGATGACAGATTCATTAATTTTTCTCACTTTTTCCCAGCTTCACTGTGGCTGACAGTACATTAGATTAACACACTCCAAAAACTTCATTATCCAAAGCTTTAGAAACCTGACATGAACATTTTACCTTCTGACCCCTTAAAACGTATAATGATCATGCTGCAATCAAGACTTCCAAAGGTAGGCTGACTTTCCAAAAAGGGATTCTATGTCTTTAATAAGTAAATACTGAGAAATGATCTCTTTAAACAAAGTTACAAGAAAGTTTTATAACGATTATGTTCATGACTCAATCAACAAGTCCCGGGTCCCTGAGTGAGCGCTGGGCAGCACACACCTCTGCAGTGACCTTCACGTAGCATTTTAAGAGTTGGACAGCACTGCAGTATGATGCTGCACTGACTCTTCACAGCAGATGGGGGAAGTACATGCTGCAGGCAGATTATCATCCTCACTTTAGAGAACAGCATCTGTATGGAGTGTCCCACAGAACCATCTCTAGAGCAAATTCTCCCAACTTTCTCTGAGATTTGCCAAGGACTTTCAAGGACTGAGGAACTGAGGAGTGGTGCCAAAAATCCATCCTAAGCTTCATGCTGGAGTAGGTTCTCCCTACTTTCATCATTCAGTAACCTTTCCTTCTCTGAGGTCCATACAATCCACATCTTCCACCTAATCAAAAGCCTGGTATTTGTTGTCTACAGACCTCCCCTTCCTTCTTCAAGGAGTTTAGTACATGGCTCACAATATTTTTTCTCCTCCTCAACTCTTGCCTTCTTACTACAGGAGGGGACTTCAACACACATGTTGACGCTCCTTCAAACACCCTAACTACTCAATTCCTCAGCCTACTCGCTCAGTTGCCATGATCTACTTCCTCCACCCCACCTAGGCCACATAACAAAGATGCTCATACCCTTTGATCTTGCCACCACTGACATGGACCACCTCCATGTTCAAGAACTTTGAAATCTCCTGTTCTAACCATTAGCTCTCCACCTCTCCTTCCCCCTTCCCATATTAAACCATATTCTTCAACCACACTGATGACTTCCAACCCCTCAATGCCTGAGTTTTCTCCCAGGACAGTCTTCTCTCTTCTTTTCCCCATCTTGACCCTCTTTTCTTGAGTCCCTGGTCCCCTCATCATATTGCCAATTAAACCCTACCACGCCTCAGCCTTGGATTACATTTCCACCGTTGCTGCTGAATGAAGTGGAGAAAAACATGTAATCATTCTAACTGGGCCCACTACAAATTTATGTTACAAAATCTCAACTGGGCCTTCAATGCAGCTGGGTAATCCTTCTATACATCCCTTGGCAACTCACTATCCCACTCTCCACAGAGACCCTTTTCTGTGTTTCCCCAGTCCCCAATCTCTCAGCTGAGAATCTTGCATCATATTTGACAAAAAAGGTGAGGCTCTCTTCCTCCTTCCTTTCTCAAATATCACCCAGATATCCTGTGCCACAATTTCCTTTACCCCTGTTTCACGTAATGAGGTGGCCCTTCTCCTTGCCAAGGGAAACCCCTCTACACACAAATGACCCCATTCCATCTTGTCTTCTCCAACAGAATATCTGCACCCCCAGTCATCCCTACTCTCTCATTTACTGTCAGTCTCTCCCTATATACAGGCTTAGGGTAGCTAAAAGGCACAGTGGATAGTGACGGGCCTGGAGTCAGGAAGACCTGAGTTCAAATCAGACCTCAGACACATACTAGCTGTGTGACCCTGGGCAAGTCACCTAACCTAATTTGCTGCAGTTTCTTCATAGGTAAAATGAGCCTGGAGAAGGAAAAGGCAAACCGCTCAAGTATCTTCGCCAAGAAAACCCCAAAAAGGGGTCAAAAAGAGTTGGATCTAACTAAAAATGACTAAAACCAACAACAAATCTACTGTCTCCTTCCCTATTGCTTACAAATATGCCCAACTCTCCACTATTCTCAAAAAATCCTCAATAGACCCTTCTACCCCCACTCACTCTCACTGCCTTTGTGTCAAAACCTATTGAGAAGGCCACTTACAACAGATGACTCTACTTCCTCTCTTCTTAATGCCTATAATCTGGCTTTCGATCTCTTCATCTCACCAAAGTTGCTCTCTCTGAACTTATCAAGGATCTTCTAGCTGCCAAATCCAATGCCTGTTTTTCTTGAACTCTTTGCCATCTACAGCCTCTGACACTGCCAATCTCCCTCTTTTCCTCGATACTCTCTTTGTCCGTTTTCAGGACACTTCTCTCTCCTGGTTCTCCTCTGACCTGTCTGACCACTTCTTCTCAGTCTCCTTTGCTGGATTCTCATTCAGGTGATACCCTCTAACTGTAGGTGTCCCACTAGGGCTCTGTCCTGGGCCATCTTCTCTTCTTGCTCCACACCTCACCTGGTGATATCATCAGCTCCCATAGATTTAATTATCATCTCTACGAGGATGAGTCTCAAATCGACTTTTCTAGCCTTAACCTCTCTCTGACCTCCAGTCTTGCACCTCCAAATGCATTTCAAGTATCTTAAACACAACATCTTCAAAATTAAACTCTTTTGCCTTTTCCTCTAAATACCACCTCCTTACTTCCCTATTACTGTCAACACCATCCCCACAGTCCCCTAGGATTTGCAATCTAGATGTGATATTAAGATGAACAAACCCTCTTAGCTACTCCCTCATTATTTCTCATGCCCCATATCCGATATGTTGCCAAGGCCCGTCCATTTCACCTCAGATCTTCCCCCTTCTCTCTCTGACACTGTCCCCACTCCAGTGCACGCCCTCATCACCTCATGCCTCGACTACTGCAATAGTTACCAGTGGGTCCTAAAGTGTAGGTCCATTCATGTCATACCCTTATTCAATAAACTCCTGTAGAAATCGAATGCCTCCAGGGATCAAATATAAATGCTCTGTTTGGATAATAAATGCCCTTTATAACCTATCCCTCCCCACTACTTTTCCAGAGTTGTTTCTCTTTACTCCCCACCAGATTCTCTCTGATGCAGTGATCCTGGACTCCTGGCTGTTCACAAACAAGATCCTTCAGCTTCGGGCATTTTCTCTGGCTGCCCTCCATTCCTGGAACTCTCTCCCTCTTCATCTCTACCTAATGGCTTCCTTCAAGTCCCAACTAAAACCCCACACCTTCTACAGGAAACCTCCAGCCTCTCTTAATTCCAGTGGCTTCTTTCTGTTCACTATTTCTTGTTTATTCCATAGATAGCTTGCTGGTATACTGTTGTTTCCCCCATTAAACTGTAAGCTCCTAGAGGGTCAGGACTGTCTTTTGCCTTTCTTTCTATCCCCAGTGCTTAGGTACTAAATAAATGTTTACTGACTGACCAATGTAAGTAGTTAAGGAAAAGTTTTAGGCTTCTATAATTGAAGCTCCATAAACCCCAAGAAAAGTAGGAAAAGCATTTACTGTGGAGTCCAAAAAGCTGGGTGTGCATTTCAGGTCGTTAATGACTTAATAAGTAAACAAGTTACTTAGTATCTTTGTGCCCCAGGTCTCTCATTTGTAACAACAAATGCTTGGAATAGTCAGGTGTCAAATTCCCTGAGCAAGACCAGAACCAGATAAAAATGTGATTGGGGATGTTAAACAAAATAAATAAAAATGCACTATCGATAATGTTAATTTGTGGTTTTCTAAGTCAATATGTGGCTCAGCAGGAATCTGTCTTTATTTGGGTTCAACACATTCAACTACATCTCTTTTGAGCTTTGCAGAATGGTGAAAGGGAAGAATTGACAGGAGACAAGGGTTATGATGCTCATATGATGATTGTTCTGGGATGTGTAGGTTATAACCCTATCTCCAAGGTAATCTAGAAATACTTATTTCTAGGGAAACAAAAACTCAAGAAATCTGCGTGTTGAGGAGAAAGTCCCAAAGTCAGTTATCCTAAAACTAACAGACTTAAGCTAATCTTCTCAAAAAAATAAAACAAAAGGAAACCGTGACCTTTAATGTAAACTATAAACACAATCAACTGGTGCCAGCTCAGACTGGGTAGGGAAGTCTTTAAACTTTCAAAGATTAAGAATGTGACCAAATACACAATAAAAAAAAAAAACAAAAAAGCGTACCAAATACAATGCAATCTTTCTCTGATGATCCAAAGCCCCTCAGAATCTAGGTGTTACAGGATCATCAATGTAAATACCAATTCATGTTATGTAAGTGGTAAGTGCCTTGACTGAATCTGGACTGATTTTGTGGTTGTGATCCCATGGGACCTACCAATCTTTTCTCTCCTAAGCAGAAGGTACACAATGTGCCAAAGGGAGAAAAGGAAATTTCAGTAGGTGCATCCAATCCAAATACATTTAGAAGGTGAGCTCTTGGTTTTAATGTCCATATTTGCACAAGGGGGAGGGGCAGAGAAGGGAACTAAACAATGGGGGAAACATCTGCATCTTTAAAAAAAAAAATACATGCAAGTTCTTGCTACTGGGGTGGCTGTCTACTACAATAAAATTAATACTACCTTTGGGGAAAAAAGTACATGCAGGAACAAATATCACCTCACTCTATAAGGGTCACCCAGTGAATATCCAGGCCAGGACAATGAAGTCAACTTCATAGAGGACCTCATACAGGTCAGGTGACTGCAGCATCCACCTTATTCATCACATCTACATTGGGAAAGGCTTTGCTACTTCCTAATTGTCAAGAGATTCAATAGCCCTGGAGTACTGATTATAGCTAAGGGGTAAGAGGATGGAACCTCTGTCAGGAAGACAGTAGCTTGAATTCTGCCTCAGATACTTACTAATTGTGGGATCCCAGGCCAGTCATTTAACCTCTTTTCTCAGCTTTAATTTCTAACCGGTAAAATGAGGATAACAACGGTACCTACCTCACAGGGCTGAGATAACAACGGTAAAGTGTTTTGTAAACCTTAAAGTGCTATAAAAATGCCAAATTATTGTTATTAATGTGATTAATTGATGCTGCTACTAGTACCTCTGCACCAGGGAGCAACTTACCACTGGAATGTGAAGCTTGCTGAGAGGCTTGCCGTCCAACAGGTAAGAACCCGTGTAAGTGACGTATTCAGCATAACACTGGGGGGCCTGGGGAGTGATGTAGCAGAGAATTTTCCGCTTTTCCTCAATCTTTTTCCTGATCTGAAGGTATTCAAAATATGGGTTTGACCTATCACTGTGATAGGGTTCAATGTCATCCAGTTTTATAGCATCTACGATGGCTGCCAATGTTTGCTGTATCATTTCCCTCGTTTGCTGGGTAGATGTATTAATTTGCTGCTGCAGCTGTTGGTTGGAGCGTTGGAAACGACGTTTTCGGGGGTGTTGGGCTTGAGAATCATCTTCTTCTGTGACTCGCCCTTTTGCTCTTGTAGAAGGAGTAGAAACTGGTGGAAATTCTTTTTCCGAGGGGGAGGTGTTCTGTTTGTTTTGATTGGCTAGCATCTGAGCACGGTTCCTGGTGATTCGCTGAGGAATTTCTTCTACTTTGGGAGGTTTTGGAACTTCAGGTATCGGTTTGGGTACCGATTCTGTAGCTTCTGGCTGGGCGTTGCCTTGGGGTGGTTCCGCCTGGGAAGAAGCCGTCTGACCTACGGTGCTTCCCACATCTTCTTGAGTGCTGGTACCATCGACACTTGCTTGGCTTAAGTTATTCTCAGCACAACTCTCCAATGTACGGTTTGAGACAAAGGAGCCTTCAGGATTTGTTTCCCTTTCTTGGTCACCCGTCTGAGGAGGAAGTTCAGCAGATGCCACCGGCTGAAAAGAGTGGGGCTCCAATTGTTCAGAAGTCTTCTCCTCGGGGACGCTCCCTGCCTCCGCAGCAGCTTCCACAGAAATGGCTTCTGGCTTTGGTTCCTCAGGTTCTGGCCCTGGCACCACAGGCAGGAGGGCAGCTGCCTGGCTAGAGGGCACCCCCTCCTGCTCATCTGCTGCTAATAAAGAAAGGTTCCCACTGAAGGCTCCTGGGTCTCCAGGATTTGTACTTTCGGAGGCAACAACAGGGCTCTCTCCCACAGGTTCTGCTTCAGTCATTTCAGCACCTGGGACGTCTTTAGTTTGAAGTGGAAGTTCTGGTAAAGAAAAAGGACCCAGATCTAAGTCATCTTCTGCATTTGTGAAAGGGTCAGGCCATGCCACTGGTTCTTCTTGATTTATGACAGAAATGTTATTTTCTAAAAAGTTGTTCTCCAGGGAGCCTAGAGCTTCGACCTGAGTTACTGTTGGTATGCATGTGGATTCTTGAACGATCTCAGGTGTTTCTTCTGGAAGAGGCTTACAGCTAGTAAAGAAGGAGTCTAGCCTAGAAGGGGGCATGTAAGAAGTCTGTTCCTCCGACGTTGTTATTTCTCCTGAAATTGCTTCTTCAGCAACTTCCTTTACATCATTAAGACCTGGTTCAGACACAGACAAGGGGTATGAAATAGGAGAAACTGGGTAAGGAGAATCAGAAGGTATAAACGGCACAGGAGCTGGATGCATGGGATCTGAAGAACAGAAAGGTTTGGGAGACTCTGCATATCTCTGTGGGGATTTAATCAGAAGTTCAGTCCCTACTGCCCAATTTACAGGGGTTTCAGAGGAAGTTCCAATTAAGCTCTGAGTAATAGGTTGCTCCGAGTTTCTGGGAGGGTTTGCCCAGTCTGTATTATCCTCCTCTGAAATAACAGCATTAAAGGGGCCCTCCTCAATCGGCTGCAGATAGCTAGGCTCTGGGGGAATAATAGCAGCAGTGGCTTGTTGGTCTTCTGTGGCATCCAAAGGGATGCCCAGATCGGGGGGAAGGGCACTTTCTATAGATGGGGCCAAAAGCTCATCTCTATGAGAAGGAGAAGATTTTGCCTGCAAACCAGAGAAGACACTTTCAGGAGATGGGGCAACATTTCCAATAGCCGCTGATGTACAATGTAATGTTTCAACTTTAGGTGAAGGAATCCCATAATCTGGAGAATAGTACCCGGGAGACAAACATGGAAACTTTTCTGCAGGAACAGATGGCAAAGGAACCTTTTCTTCCATTAAATGTTGCACTGGCGAATCATAATTTGATGTAGCAGGCACACTCTGCTGTCTGAAAAACTTATCCCCAACAGTGAATTCCTCTTCAGGGGTTCTCCGGATATCCACAGAGATTGAACGATAAAGGTTTGCGGGGAGAGTCCTGGTAGGAGTCTGACCTGGGTTTTCAGGAAGCCCACCAGAAGTATTTGTGTATCTGTCAAAAAAGGATGGTGAGCATGCGTTCATTGACATAGTAGAGACAGGGATAGAATGCTGAGAATCAGCACAGTCAAACATCAGATCAGTGTAATCTTCATTGCTGCACGATGGCGTTCTGGGAGTCTGCATCACCTCCTCATAACTAGGGCAGGAAACCACAGAGGCGGGAGCCGGAACCCCCGTGGGACGACTCTGGTCTGGTCGTGGGGAAGCAGGCAAGATTTCCTTCATGTGAGGACCGGCCAGCCAGTCTTTAGAGTCAGTGCCCACAGCAGGGTGGGGCTTGCTTTCCGCTGACAGCACAGGAGCCAGGGGGCCTAACTCCTTCATCTTTTTCTCTTTAAGCTGAGAGTCCACTCCCAGAGGTTTTTTGGAAGGCAGGTCTAGACTCCTCTTTCTCACCTCCTCTGAGGACTTCGCCTTATCTTTCAGTTTAGGGTCCCCAGACCGGTGCCTCATCTTCTCCATCTGCTTCATCCGTTCTTTGTGCCTCTTGTGACGCTCCTCTATCTCCAGGTCTTTTTGGCACAGCATCCTCTCAAAACTTGTCATCATCAGGTCACCATCTCCCAAGAGTTTTTCTCTGGGTCTGGTATCCTTCTTTCCTGTGTCTTTGGATGGAGGAATTTTATCATTTCCATTACTAATTTTCAATGAGTCAGACTTTTCCTTCTCTTTTAATCTGCTTTCACTAAGCTTGATACTTTCATCTTTTGATTTATCTTTGAAAGCATTCACTTGAGTGCTGTCCTTCTCTTTAGTCACAGACTTCTGCTCATCCTTATGATGCTTAAAAAATCCATCCGTGTGTTTTTCTCTGTGTTTCTCTTTTTCATCTTTCCATTTTTCTCGATGTTTATCTCTTTTCTTCTTCTCTTTAGTTGAACTGATGGAATTTGAAGCATAAACTTTTTCTTTTTCTGATTTCTTGGAAAGTTCCCTCTCAGAATCATTTTTGTCTTTCTTTTCAGTTGAGAAAAATTCAATAGTTTTGTCTAATTCATCTTCTACGTCTGCTTTCATGTTATATGACATGCCAAAAGCATCGCCATCCAGGGAGAAGTCTTTTTCATACTGGGATGATTCTTTTCTACTGTCCTTAAAATCATCACTTTTTTCTTTTTTCTCAGACTTCTCTTTCTTGGCTTTTTCCCTTTCATGACTTTTCTTTGATGAAGATGAGGAATGCCTGTGTCGCTCCTTTTCTTTCAGTTTATCTTGTAGGGAAGGAAAGGGAATAGAATCCTTAAACTTGTCCTCAGCAGGCTCTGTGAATGATGATTCAAGGAGACTGCTCATGCCTGGATCTTGCCCTCTGTCTGTAAAGCTGTCAGACGAGAGCTCACTTATCTTATCATTAGAGTCATCTCTATATTCATTGAGGGCTTCTTCTTCCAACTTCTCCAACAAGCTTTTCTCCATATCGCCCCCTTTTGAAGATTTCCTCTCTTTGGAATGTTCTTTATCTGGCTTTTCTTTATGTTTGTTTTTAACCTTGTCATCAGTAGAGTGTTTCCTTTCAACCTTTTCAGGAATTTTTTGCTTACTTTTCTTTTCTTGGATAGAGTCAACAGAAGTTCTATCTTTTCTATCCTTATATTTTTCAATAGAATCTTTATCTTTCTTCTCTTTGTGTTTTTCAAAGTTTTTTTCTTTTTTATCTTTTCCTCCTTCTGTTAATCCCTTTTCCTTTTTCTTCTCCTTGGATTCTTTATCTTTCTGCTTTTCTCCAGAGTGTTGCTTATCTGAAGAATATTTCCGGTGTTTCTCTGAGGTGTAAGGTTCTTTCTCCTCGTCTTTTTCTTGTACATTCTCCACTCTTGGCACCTCACTGCCAATAGCATCCCCAATTTTGAATCCACCTGTACTATACTCCTCTTTCTCATCTTCACTTTCATCTGTGAAAATATCTGCAATGTACCAGCTTTTATCTTTAGTCTTTTTTTCGTCTCTTTTTTCAGCAAAGTCCTCTGAAATGGTTCCTGAGAAATTTTTGTCTTTCTTTTCTTTAATTTGATCAAGGGAAGCCTTCCTTTCTTTGTCTTTGTTGTGCAAATCCTTGTATTTGTCCTTTGTCTCTTTTTTCTCTTTAAAACATTTATCTGACTCTTTGTCTTTCTGATTTTTTTCAAGGACGGATTTTTCATTTTTTTCTTTGTCTATTTCTTTAGATTTTTCTTTATATTTATCTGATTTCAGCTTCTCTTTTTTGTCCTTATCAGTAGTATCTTTTTTATCCTTTTCTTTCCCTGAATGATGTCTTTCCCAAGTCTCTAGATTTTTTCCAAAATCTGAATCTAATTTGTCCTTAAAAAAATTTTCACAACCATATTCTTTAAGGTCATCTCTGTAGGTTTCCTCTTGTTTAACCTTGGCATCTTTTCTGTCTTTAGAACTATCAAATGAGTCTTTTCTCTCTTTGCAGCTATCACCTACATCTTTTTCTTTTCGGTCTTTAATACCATCTGCAGAATCTTTCCTCCTTTTCTCCTTTTCTGACAAGTAACTGGAAATACTTTTGTGTTTCTCAGTTGGGTCTTTCTTTTTTTCAGAGGTTTTTTCCAAATAGTCTCTGTCTTTCTTTTTAAAGAAACAGTCTTTTTCATTACGTTTTTCATTATATTCTCTCTTTTCTTTACTTTTGTTATCCCTCTTCTTTTCCTTTGTTTCCTCCTTCACTGTTTCCAAGATTAGTTTTGCTACTGAGTCATTTTTTATCTCCCTATAGTCTGTCACTGGGGAATCCCAACTATCTTCTCCTTTGAAATCAAATGATGAGTCAGATAAATCAGAAAACCACCTCTCTTGCTGATCATCAGAAAGGCTGAATTTGCTATCTTCATTCTCTAAAAACTGACTTTTATTACAAAATTCATCAAAACCAGGTTCTTCCCTATAAACTTTTTCTTTTTTAAATTTTTCTTTATCTTCTTTAAAAGGCTTCTCTTTCTCAGATTTGGAAATTTTCTCCTCTTTCATGTCATTTTTCTTTTCTGACTTTGATTGCTTGTCTTTTGATTTTTTCTTTCGTTCCTCCTTGTGAATTCTAAGTTTCTCCTCTTTTGGAGACTTCTCCTTTACTGATTTCTCCTTTTCAGTTTTACTTGATCGGTCTTTCTCCTCTCTGAAAGCTTTACTGAGTTCTTTGTTCCCCTCTTTGACTCTTTTTAGTGATTTCTCTTCTTTGGAGACTTTTATTATCTCATCTTTAAACAACCATTCCTTTTCCTCAGACTTGGTTTTGATTATTTTCTCTTCTTTCTTGAAATGTTCTCTATCATGCTTTAGTACTTTTAATTTGTTTTCAATTGGATTTTCACTATCAACAATTAAGGCCTTATCTGACTTTTGCTTAGAGTCCTCATAATCATAAGGAAAGCTTTTCATTTTAATATCTTGATTGTTTGAACATTGTCCTTTCTCTTTGTTTTTGTGTTTATGTTTTGTTTTATGCTTTTTAACAACTTTCCCCTCTTTATCTAGTTTTGGAATTGCTCCATCCACATTGGAATGGAATGAGTTCTTCTTTTCAGATACAGTATTATGTGGAGTATTTTTCTTTTTGTGTTCCTGTTTCTTTCTAACCGGTTTTAATGATGCCAAGCTGGAGTCTTCAGATGTATAATCAGACTCACTTGTCAGCCTTGTCCTTGTAGAGTCCGATAAGGAACTGACGTCTGACCAAGCTGGAGAAGAAATGGTTTTCCAATTATCTGTTCTCCAATGCTTGGAGTGCTGTTCTGCAAGATTCGAGTTATGTTTCTGGGATGCTAAACTTCCATGAGAAGAAGTGGATGAGGCAGAGAGTGAGCTGAAAAGTGAGGGTTCCTTTAGCACGATAGTGGAGTCCTTGATACAATTGGAACTTTCAACAGAGTCTCTATCATCCTCATCACTCTCCAAATTCTCACTCTCTGACTCTGAAGAGCAAAATTTGTCATTTTTTTTGCCAAATCGAACTTCCTTGCCTTTTGTCTCTTTCTTCCGCTTCTTTTTAACTTTATTTTTCTCTTTCTGTTGCTTGATGTTAGATGACTCTCGTGTCTTGTTACTGGGCAATACAGAATGAGCTGAAAGTCTTAGTTTCTCTCCAGTGCCCACAGTGACACTTGCATCCTCATCATCTGAGGTGTCTGAAAGGATGCGATGGGCAGCTTTCTTTGGTGCAATTGTATTATTTTTAGTATATGTTTTAACTTCCATTTTGGGAATAGATATAAAACTATTTGATTTCGTTTCTTTTCTGTAATCCTTTTTCAGTAAATGCTTGTCATCAACTGGAGGAACTCGATCTTGTTCATCATCCTCATCAAATTCATATTCGTCCTTCACCGGGGTAACTGTTTTTGGTGGCTCCTGATTCTTGGCCTTATGCTTCAGGCCTTTTTCAAATTCAGAGTCCGTGTTATTGCCATCAACTGAGCTGGAAGGTGCGAACGACGGGGCATCTTCTTCTTCTGAACTCTCTGTTAGAAATAAAGAGGGAAAAGAAAAGCATTGGAACAGAGAGGTTAGAAAACAAAACTCTCATTCCCTTCCAAAAAAGAAGGAAAAGCATGCCTTTCTGAAATACTCATATCAATGTAACAATAAAGGAAAACAAGAAGCCTCCTCCCTCCCTCTCTCTGTCCCTCTCTCTCATAGTTATAGCCCACTGTGGGTGAGGCCTGCAGGTACAGTAGGAATGAATTCCCAAGATTTGATAGCCCAAAAGTTGTATAAACTTCAGTGCTTTATGAGGATCATCCCACTGACTGTCTTGAAAGGAAAGACTACTTTGGAAGCCCTAACAGTTTTCTAATCATCACCACAGTAAGCAGCCATAATCTGTGTATATATGATACATATCATATATATAATATATACGAGACATATCAGATATGATACCTACACCCACAAACACACAAAGCCACCTTCTTACCTGTTGAGCTCTCTTCACTGGAGGTATATGTACCCTTCCCCAGTAGGAGATTCACCATAGTTGGAGAATTGGCTACTTTCAAAGGCGTTTCTCCCTTCCTGTTACTCTGATGAGGATTCCCTCCATATCGTAACAATAACTTCACCACCTAGCAAAACAAATAAGTGCAGCTTGCTTTGTCATACTGGCATAGAGCTGTAAACGGGGGATATGCTTGAGATCTGATCATAAATAGGCCATGGCAACAATGTAATCATTCCTTCTCTCATTAATAGAAGCAGTGAGGCCGCTCACCTTGTAGTGACCATTATTGGCCGCGTCATGCAGCGGGGTGTCATCATCCAGCCCCTTGGTGTTGACTTCAGCACCTGCAGCGAGCAACTGCTTTGCAACATCATAGTAACCTCGGTTACATGCCTCATGCAATGCTGTCCAGCCTGGAAAAGGATATGTGACATTTAATACTGGTGGAATGACAGCTGAAAAACAGGCAGGGACATGGGGTCTTTTAGATTTCTATGTCCCAAAGACTTCATCCTTCTCAGCTTTAATGAAAGAACTATATTAACAGAAGACTGTCTCTGAGATAGGACTTGTGTTAACCATTTGGACGATCTCATGACAATCTGGGTAAACAACGTGGGTAGAAATCTGAATTGAATGAACCAACTCTCCAAAAAATCTGGACAGGCACAATAACCCTTGCTAGTGGTATAGGGGAAATTTCTTTCCCTTACAGAAAAGAGTCAGATAATTTAAATTCAGAAGCTGAATTTAATTTTCACCCCAATAAAGACTCATATCTTCAAATAACATAAACAGATTAACAGTTTAAAATTCCATTCTCAGGTACATTTTGGGAACAACAAAAAGGGAGTGCAATTTTATTTAGAAATAACTTCACTTGCCTTTACATGTCTCGTGTAACAATAATTGTAATGACTCTCAGAAAAGTCAAATTACATATATATGTTAATATATGTGACAGTAACAACTCTATTTATACAAGAAAAGATGCCACTACATATGATACACCCTTTTCTAAGCCCTGAAAAGAGAAGTTAGCTCCTCCAAACAAAAAACATTTACGGAATCTCTTTGATGGTCACAAAATATCAGCAATGGAAGGGCCTTTGGAAAAAAACACCATTATCCAACATCCTCATTTTTTATTACTTTTGATCTTCATCTTCCTCTGCTTTCCTCTTGCTACATAAGAATATTATATTAACATAGACAAAAGATGAGTGAAAATTCTTTAATAGGTACACTCTATTTAAGTGAACCTTTCTTGCATTCAATTTTTCCTCCTAAAAATGCAAAAAATATCATACATTCCAGGTATGTACATGAAAATCAGACAGAGAAGTATAAAAACCTGAAGAGTCAGAGTTCAGCTGAGCATGCTGATATAACTTTTTCTTCTCTAAGTACATTTGCTTGTTTGCAAAACGGAACTTTGCTGGATTCACTAAGACACTTTCATGTGAGAATGGCTTTGGAGCTGGAAGAGGCCTTAGAGGCACCTCATCCACACCCAGAATATAAGCTCCATGAAGACAAGCTTTCTGAGTCTCTGTGTCCCCAGCACCAACCATACTGCCTCCAGCCCAGTAGGTGAGAAGTATATGCTCACAGAACTGACCTGAACAAGAGAGGAACCAAAGCCCCGAGAGGTTAAAGAACTCACCTGACATCACGCAATCAGGACTGAACCCCCAGTGCCTCGACTCTCGTCGAGCGCTCAGCTCACCACACTGCCAGCTGCCTCGCGGCTAAGTCGACTCCCATTCCTCCTACGGGTGGGAAGCCTGCCGACGGCGCCAGGGAAAAAGACAACACCACACTGAAGGGTTACCTGCAAAGTCTTTCACGTTGACATCGGCTCCCTCGTTGATGAGCTCCTTGATGCGCCGGGCATCTCCTCTGATGGCAGCTCGATGCAGTCGAGTTTCTCCACGCTCATTTCTCTTATTTACTTTATCTTTGGTTTTGGAGGCAGAGTTAGGAGTTCCCTTCTGACAAACTGTAGACTGAGAGGGATGCTTTGGTGTTGTGTCTACTGCTCAACAAGGAGATCATAGGGAAAAGTTTTACCAGAAAGGAAACCCATAGAGGGAGCTGTTGCAGCATTTCAAACACAAACGGCCTTCCAACACCCCAACCTCTCCCCTGAGGAGCTAGGAAGCCTGTGTGACTGGGGAGGTCAGCATAACGGGCGCTCCATGCTCTAGGAGGCTCAAAGCTTTAAGTGCAAGGCAAATTACTTAGCATTTCTATGGAAACAAGGCACATGGAGATCCAAGACCAAACAGGTTTTTTTTTTCCTTTTTGTTTTTGTGTGGAGAGAAGAAAAAGTTCCATCAGGGCAGGCAATATAATGCGATCTACTATCTCAGATGCAACAGGGACTTAGCCATCTGCTACAGAGGTTGCTTTATCGAATGAAGCCCTGGACCAGAAGGGCTCAGCCTATGGTCAGTGTTGCTCCATGACGTAGAGGCCTGGGCGGCACCCTCCCTAAGGAGCGCTAGGTGCCGTGGCCTAACCTTGCCCACAAAACAATCATTTCACAGCTCACCTGGGCTATTTGCAGACTCCTCTGCTGTCATCTGCATGAGAAGGGCGACCTGCTGGCGCTCTGAGAGTGGATAACCTGCTCTAATTCCAGATAGCCCCATTCCAAACAGTAAACCAGGTTTCCTGGTGGCGGGCTCCTTTTTAATCCTCTTCCGCTCAGGACCCTGCTTTTCTGTGAGGTATGTGAAAGGAAAAAGAAAAGGGAGGGGAAGATTTCATCTGGTGGAAACTTTCACAACCAAAACACTGATTAATTTTTAAGGGAAGAACTAATAGCAGCACTTTCATTCAATCTGACAGCTTAAAGAACAAAAAGAAAGGTCATTGAGTGTTAAAAAAAAAAAAGTCAGAAGCACTGATGCTACCCAAGAATGACTCTCCTGGCATTACTTCTGAAATGTAGAGCAATTTAAATGCCTTACAAATCAGCCAACAAATTCAATGCTAAGACTTCAGCTATCAAACCTTCACCCCACTGTGCCTTGGCAGTAAAACACACAAGGTACAACCTCATTTGCTCTTCTGAGCTTCTCAGTAAACATTTGGGGCCAGAAAAATAATAACATACATGGGGAACTTTGCTTAAAACCATTGGTCTGGGTCAGCTTGCTTGCACGTAAAGCAAGTTTTTAGCCATTAAGTAGAAGTAGCTATTAATGTTTCTCTTCCCCCCTCCCCCCCAAAATAATGCAGAGGTAAAGGGGAAAATAGTTAAAAATAAACAAGTCAAGGCCAACTGGTCAGTACTGTACCTTTCTTCTTGCTTCTAGGAACCTCCATTTCATGCCATGATGCTTCGAGGAGAGTACCAGCCTTGTAGTACCACAACATGGACTGAACTGGAGGCATCTAAAAGCATCAACACAAAGCACTAACAAGATACAATGTAACAGCTCTGAAATGTTTCCATCTCATTCTCTTCATAATAAAGCAAATCCTCGACTTATTGTCTGAACCGTTACAAAATATCCTGTCAATTGGTAGCAAAAACACATTGTGCTTTTCTTCCTCCTCCTTTTTTTTTTTTTAAAAAGGAGTGGGGGGGCGAGAGGGGAAGGAGGGGAAGGAGGATGTAATACCTTCAACTTTATAGATGTTTTCTTCCCTCAGACAATTGTCACTAATCTTTGGCTTTCTGATCAAGGCCACAGCAAAGCCAGAATCTAAAGCACTTTGTAGTTAGCTACAGCCTGGCCTGGCTGGCACTGGACCAGCCTAGCCTGGTTGCAGGTACCTGGCATCTCAGCAGAAATTTGGGCCCTTTAGGTTGATTACTACCAGGCCCCACCATGTCTGTACTCAATCTTGTGGCAGGCCTTTTTAAGACTCCCTGCAGGCAAAGTTACCATAACTAGGAGATTTCTCCTGAAGCTGTTTCTTTGCAACACAGATCTTTAAATTTCTGGAATACATCTTATAGTCAATATGGTCATAGTCTCCATAATTTCTAGTTTCCTTCTGCAGGTACTTTTGAAATGAACACCAGAGACCAACTTTTAAGAGTTATTTGTTTCTCAAAAAGCTTTTGAAATTTAAGAGTGGGAGAAGGGTTACATCCTGGCCTGTTGTATTATTAACAGTTTGAAAAAAGATATATTATTGCTTAAAAGTGATGTGCTCATCTAAATTCAAAAAAAGCCAAACCAACTGTAATGGCTGTAAGGAAAGGTAGGTTGGGGTAGGGGGGAGGCTACTTTAAGAAGTTCCTATTTATAAAATTTTCCTATATGTTTTATATAGATATTCAGGTTCTATGATTATGTCTATAATATTCTAGCTCTTAAAGAAGTCATCCCATCAAAAAGGCTGAATTCTTTAAAAGTATATTAAAAGACAGTGTTTTTGTTTTTGTTTTTTTTTTTTGTCTGTTAAACTGAATCTCTTACTTTGCTGGAAATGTTTACTACTAGATTATATGTTTGGGTTATTTGGGCCCCTAAACACACATATGTAAAGCTAATTTGCTTTATAAATACCTGGCAAGTCTCCCTAAATACTTAGGGCCAAAAAAGTCTGAGGGGAAAGATGGAAAGTTCTTAAAATCAACTACACTAGATTTCATGAAGTCAAAAGAGGAAATAAATTCCAGAAAGGAGGGTCACTGAGAAAACCATTCATTCTCTAATACTGTAGAGTTTAATTTTGATTATTCTGGAGATATACAAGCAAACTTAAAATGGCCAAGCTAGCAAGGCCAGTTCTTTTGTACCTTTTTGACTCTAAAGCCTAGAAAGACTTTATTATGCCTAGATATGGAATTTGTAAACTTATAAATAAAAGATTCCTAAAAAGATGTCCTCTATAGTAGATTATCATAAATTTTTTTTTAGGTCCAAAGGCTAAAGGAGCCCTCATACTTAGAGTAGCAGACTTTCAGTAGTTGTTCTTACCTATTAATTCACTCAGGAATATTTATAGAATGTATCAAAGACTTATAAAAAAGTGGTATGGAAAAACTACTTCCACATTTCAGCTAAACTGTCTAAGACAGTGGGATCAAACAAACAGAAATGGGTGCCACTAAATTGTATAGAAAACCACATACTAGCATTACCTGTGCTCTATTGTACTTTTATTTATTTTGCTAAATATTTCCTAATGACATTTTAATCTGGTTTGTCCCAGCATGGAATCAGAAAAAATCACAACACTGCCAGATGCCTCCTTTTTCTCTCCAAAGGCAAAAATACCCCTAAGCAGTTCAAATTTCAGGATGGCTTAAGATAATATTAATTTAACGCTGGCAATCTAAAGAGTACGTGTTTCTTACACGTGCTTCTCCTATGTCTTCCTGTCTCCCTAATGCCCATTCTGGAAAATTGTAAAGAAGGATTAAGACTGTTGTAGAAATCCATTGCAGATGTCACCTACATGAAACAATGTAACTGTACCCTGCCACACCTACAAACCTATTAACCTTCTGTAAAATATCACCTGAACTCATTTTGCTTAAGGAGGATCTGGCTGATGGACAGAAATAGCACGGCCATTTTCAAAAGTCAGCACTGTTTAAGGGGCTGTACTACCATGCAAAAAAGCACCCAGCCCTCAAGGGACTCAGTCTACAGTACAACGATGGACAAAGGCAAAGTGGAGGTGATCACAAAAGATACCAGCATTAAGAGGGATTGGGAAAAGCTTCCACAAGGTGAGACTTGAAAGGAAACCGGGGAAGCCAGGAGACAGAGATGTGAAGAAGAAAATCCCAGGCATGGGAGACAACCACTGAAACTGGCGGAGAGCAGAGAGACAGAGCATTGTGCGAGAGCACAAAGACACTAGTGTCACTAGATAACAGAATATTTTGTAATTTATTCTGAAAGTAACAGGGAGCAACTGGAATTGACTGAGTAGGAGAGAAGAGGGCGACATGGTCAGACCTGTACTTTAGGAAGATGGAGGATGGACTAGAATGGGGAGAGATCTGAGGCAGGGAGACCAACCAGGAGGCCACAGCAATAATCCATGGGGGAGGGGACAACATCAAGGGAGGACAGTGTCAGGAGAGAGGATGTTACAAAGGCAGAACTGGCAGGACTTGGCAACTGACTGAGTATGTGAGGGAGAGAGGGGAGGTGGAGAGAGAGATTGAGTAGTCAGGAACAGTAACATGCTGTGACCCTGGGTGACTTTGGAGGAAGTAATAATAGTGAAGTTAGGGAGACGTCACCAAGGTAGTATATACCTGGTGTTTCCTGAAATAATGACAGCTGATGGGGCTTTAAAGAGCTTTAACTTTTGCAAGGCTCTCCACAAATTTTATTTTCCAAGTCCTTTATAAACTAGCCACCTCCTATCTTTCCTGTCTTCTTACACCTTAACATTGGTCCCCAAGCATTCTTCATTTGGCCTGCAGACCCTGAGAAAGCCAAGGGGATGGGGTAAGGTTAAGCAAGAGCAGGCAGCCCTGAATTCCCCACAGAGAAGTTTTCTCTTCATAAGCAGATGGCAGCTGAAAATACCCAGGGGCCTTCAGTTCAGTGTCATGGGCAGAGGGTTTCCATGTCAATCAGCATTAGCACACACATGGATAGCTTGGGGATTGGGCTACCCTTTAAGGCTCCAAAGTTAGGTAGGGAGGAAACTTCATCTCCAGAATGTGTCTATATATTATGAACTTCTGTAGCAATTATAATCTTTGGATGGAAAGTCCACTTTGACCCACTATGAACATAACTATCATGATTATGATTCCAGAGTAACTTGAAACCTGAAAAATCTGGCTAAAATCACTAAAAAGTTGATTCCAACTAAAAACGATGTAACAAAAGTATGACATCATGGAAGGCACACACTGAAAATACCCTCGGCCTCTCCCTATAATTGGATGGCTCCTCCCAGAGCCTCCATTTAAGGTCGAGGGTAATTATGTTTCATTCCTTTCTAGTGTTGGTGTGAGATCTAATGAGATACTATTTATCAAATAAAATAATATTTGTAAAGGGATCAACACAGTGCTAGACAAACAGCAGGTACTTAATAAATGTTTGTTTCTTCCCTTTCCTCTAGGTTGAACTCAGAACTTCTCTGAGAACTAAGAATACTAAGGAGCAGGATGATCTGTCCTGGGGGGGTTCTGCTGGAAGCAATGTCCCCTGACCTCTTGTTTGGGTGCAGATACATTACTTCTCCCTCATCTTCCCCTCAACCTTCATGTTAAAGCTGATGATGAAACAGGTCACAAAAGGAGGTCAAAACTAAGCTCAGAGAACTCTGGCCACTAAATCTATTCCAGATCAATAATAAAGTACCCACTGCAACCATCTTGTAACATGTAGCCCATTAACCTCAAAGTCTTTTCCCCTTCCTTCTGCCTATACCTATTAAGATCCTACTTTCAAACACTGCTTTGGCCAGAATTTTGACTGAAGTTCTTATTGAATTTTGTGGCCAAGTTACTATTTTCCTAAATATTCTAACAAAGTCCTCATTTTTGTTTAGCACTATATTCACAGAAGTAACTAAAGCAGAAGATTCCACAGCACTGCTTTCAGCCAATGATACACTGCCACTTACTTGCTCTTGTTTCTTTCAGGCTGGCCCTCTCTTCTAGTCTGCACCCCTTGGTAAATTCTTTTCCCTTTGGTATTCCATTTGCATAGGCTAGAACTCTGAAAACTTATTTGAAGGTACCATCTCTGAAAAATGTGTCTCCCTCTCTTCCGGCGCACA